TTGTGTATATTTTTTAAATTATATAGTTTTATATTTTATAAAAATATATATAAGTATATTCTATAAATTATAATAGAGCACCGTACAAAATCTTAGATGAATAATAGAACACAGTAGATTACGTATCCTCATTTTTTTCTACAGTCTCTTATGAATAAAAATACCAATGAGATTCGAACTCTACGACTTCTAACTTGAAAGTGACCACTTCCACTGCCAGCCGCGATGATATTGACATAACTGATAAATCTGTGTTCTGTGAAATATGATGTTTTGTACAGGATATGCGTAAAACAGGATACGCTTATGAGCAATTTATTTGTACTACTATGAAATAGATAAACTTAAGGATGCTATATACAACGACATGTCAGTTTCTAATTAAGAAAATAAAATAAATAACAATATAAATACTTTATATATATATATATTATTAAGGCGATTTCTCATATTGTTTAATAATATGTAAATAAAAGTAAAAACCAAATTATATCTTATTATACAATATTAACAAAATATTTATTAATCAAAATAATTATAGATATATCATAAGTATTAATATTTTTTTTTCGTTTAAATAAAGCAGAAGAGCAAGAGATTTATAATATTCTTTTTTAATTTCAGAGTCCTATATAAGTTTACTAAAAATAAAAATTTAATAAAATAAAACAAGTTTCTTGCAATTAATAATAATCAATAATCAATAGAAGTATAAAATAATTAATTACATTTTTTTTCTTCATTATAGAGAGTTCGAACACGACTCTGCTTGATAAAAACAGCAAGTCTTGTAATACTAGTAGATGTGAATGTAAGAACACGGACTTACGTGTCATTATAAAATATATGTTGAAAGCTACACTGATACTAATTTATTCCCTAGTACTACAAGTCGTAGTTTTACGGAACAAGACCCTGACAGCAATCGAGATAATGCAGCCAGTAACGACAGTCGCTATCGCGACTAGGCTCTTCAGTCTTCAAGGTAAGCTTGCGGGATTTACTCATTTTAAATTAGTCCGTCATCATGTACTGCAAACCGTCAAATCATTCTCAACTATCCTTGACAAGTAAGAAGTAAGCAGACTCTAAAATAAGGCTCGATTTGTCTTCATATCTGTCGAGCCGAATAAAACCGAAAACAGCTGATGAGTAATTTGTGTACGTTATCGTGTGGAATGCGTAAACCGGATACTATAAAAATAGATTAGACAGTCGAGTAATACTTTATCACTCTTTAAGTCATATCTAACGTCAAACCATTTCACCTCACATAAAAGTTCTCAGAAGCGGATTGTTTCCTGACAAGCAATGTTTCATAATTATGTGGTTAAATAATTGTATCTTTATCCGCATTACTAATTGCCTGTATTTTATATCTTATGAACGTGAGAAAAAGATTAACTTTCTAGATCTTTAAATATTTCGCATACTATAATAGACAAAAGATTGCCAAATTTATTTTTACATTTCAATAAAGTACGAAACTGTCGTAATTTAATTTTTATAAAAGTAAAGAAATGAAGGGAGAACAACTCGATTCTTTTACAATGCTATTGCACAATGAATTAGGTATATAAGTACAGAAAGTGTCGTACTAGAAGATGAACTTTTTAATTAAAGATTCACAGGCTTGTTTTCTGATTACCGTTTTAATTAGCAGTTGCTATAATTAGCTGAACAATTCATTATTCG